AAGCTTAGCAAAGCACAGGGACTGCAGTTCAATCCCCCAGCACCACATGCCAGCCAGCCCCGCCCCCTGGTGGGCTGAGCTGGCCACACACACACAAATAAATAAAATTAAAAAAAAAAAAAAAAAGAATCGTTTCCTTTTTTGATCTCCCTGTCTTATCACCCTGCCTTGGAAGCAACCAGCTGATTATGGACTGAAACTTCTACAAACCATGAGCCAAAATAAACCTTTTTCCCTTTAACTTCGGGTGTTGAGTATTTTGTCCCAGCAATAAGAAAAGTAACTAAGACAGCCTCTACCCCGAGAAGAAAAAAAAAAAAATAATTCATTAGTTCTAGTAGATGCCCTCACAGAATGAATAGAGATTTTTCCATGTACTTCAGAAAAGGCAAATATTATTTCCCACAAGATACTAACAAAAATTATTCCGCAATTTGGTCTCCATACAATCAGACAATGGCTTATCATTCATCTCCCACATTATTCAGGAAATGTCAAACACCTTTATCATAATCTGGAAACTTGGTATCTTTTATAGGCTTTAATCTATTCCAGGCAAGGCTGAAACAGCAAATGATATAGTAAAAACTCATCTCATTAAACTCATGCTAAAATCTCAGACATGGTTAGACTGCCTACCCACTGTCCTCCTGCACATCCATACCAACCCCTCTACCCCACTCTCCTTGGCCCATTCAAACTAACATATAGGAGGTGTCCTTTTGCTCTTGGCAACATTCACCTCAAATACATCATCTTTCAGAGACTACCTCTCACTGCTCTATTTAATCCATCAAATTCTACAAAACTTGGCTAAACTTCACTCCCAAAATCTGAAAACAACCATTCCCTTATCAGTCTTACCAGGAGTTAAGGTCTACCTCAAAACCCTCAACTCCAAACCCCTATAACCAAAATGGCAGGGGCTCTACGTAGTTATCCTTATAACAACTGACACAAAACTTTGGGTCTTCCCTCTTGGATACACATTTCCAGACTAGAACTTCTCCGAAAGAAGCCCAAACTCACAAGTCCCTCAAAGCAGAAACACCAGCTCCAGATTCAGCCTCAAGGCCATCACAGAAAAAAAAAAAAAAAAAATCAATAGTCAAACGGACAAACTATAACCCAACTCCAGACTAGTCTCCTAAACTCTATGACCTTATTCTGATTCTCTGTAGCGACTACCAACCTCTTCTGCAGACAAAATAGGAACTCCTTTCCCTTTTGCTAGACTGTTACCTACAGGAAGATTTCAGACTTTTTTTTTTTTTAAATATTTATTTTTATTTATGACATTTATTTATTGTGTGTGTGTGTGTGTGGCCAGCTCAGCCCACCAGGGGGCGGGTCTGGCTGGCATGTGGTGCTGGGGATCGAACCGCGGTCCCTGTGCTTTACCAAGCTTGTTTCAAGTAGGTGCTTTAGACCACTGAGCCATCTCTCCAGCCCGATTTCAGACTTTTCTTTCTTTTATTTTTGAGACAGGGTCTCGCTATGCCTTGAGCTCAATTTGTAGCCCAGCCTGGTCTCGAACTCAAAAGGATCCCCATTTCAGCCTCCTGAGTGGTGGGATTACAGGCATGTGCCACCAGTCCTGGGGTTTTCAGAATTTTCCTCTTGTAACTCTTGAGCCTGGTTAGTTGCCACTTTATATGCTGGGTCTCAATTCACCCCTAACTCACCATCATCTAATCTTCATAACTCCTTTTCTTGGTAACACCAGTCTGGCCCAAAATTTAGAACATTCCCTGTTTCACCTTTAACCTTTCAAACAGAACAAATCTTTGCCTATCTCTATCATTTTAGGATTATACTGCTATCCCCACCTCCAAATTGGGCTGAATACACCCAGGCAACTTGCTATACCTTCAAAGATTAGGCCAACACCTTCCCTAACTCACAACTGACAAGTCTTGGCAGGTGAAGAAACCAAACTCTTTCAGGTATACCTCATTAACTTCTCTAAATTCCCTATAATGACCCACACAATTATTGATCCCATAATCCTGAATATTCTTTTTCCTCTATCAAGCCCTTCTTTGTATTTACTATAAGCCAATACTAAACAGCTCACAAGGCTATCTATCTCAACAGGTCAGTAATTTTATTTCACCTGAGACAAAAGAAAAGTTCCTCTGCACCAAGCATAGTGGCACATGACCTGCAATCCCAGAACTTTGGAAACTGAGGCAGGAGGATCACTGCAAGTGAGGCCAGCCTGGGCTATAAAGTGAGCCTGATCTATATACCAAAAGAGAGAGAGAGAGAGAAGTAAGGAAAGGAGGGAAGGAGGAAAGTAAGTTCATCCAACCTGTTCACATTCTTGTCCATTAACTACCAAGTCTCATGTCTCTTCTCCAGGTCTGATTACCCATAAACCCTCTAAACTCTAACCTAACAATATTTCCCAACTTGCTATTTAAATTATTCAATATATATACAATAAGGTAATGTGGTATAAAAATAAGACCAAAAAAAAAAAATTTAAAAAGTACTCCTAAATATACCTCTATCATAGGTCTCTAAAGTAGGTCCTATGAGGGTCTTACTCTTGGTAGACAATCCAACTTACAGATAAATCAAACTTGCTAAACCCACAGAAACATCTTTCCTGAAGACTTAGACATTGTTTCCTGAATGGTTTTTTTCTCAGCCACTGTGTACACAGCTCTGAGAAGTTGTAGTAATATGCAGCAGACACAGGCTCAGAGCTCAGCTTCTTCTCCAACCTTGTGGAAAGGGATTGTATACCACAGGGCAGAGCCCTAGGCTCCCCCATGACACTTGGACATAGCCTGGCACTACTGACTTCCCAAGGTATTAATGTTAAAAACAGTAACATTCTATTCCTCTCTCTCTCTCTCTCCTCTTTTTGAGACAAGATCTCACTATGCAGCTTACTGTGTAGCCCAGGCTGGTCCCAAGGATCCTCTTGCCTCAGCTTCCCAAGTGCTGTGATTATACACACATACCACCACACCTGGCTAACAGTAACATTTCTAAGAGAAGGATAATCTGAGAAGTTAGTTTCAAGTTTTCATTTACTATTTTGCACTTGCTCAGAATGTAGAAGGCCCTACATTTATTTGACCCCCACAATGAAAGGGGAGGGGGATGAGCAAGCCATCAACAATTAAAAGGATATGAAATATGAAATACTGGTCAAAATAAATTTGTAACATGTATATGTATGTTAGAAACCATTTTAATGAGATCAACATCCTCCCCCAAAGAAACTTGTACACAGGACCATGAAGACACACAGCTGCAATCCCAGCACCCAGAAAACCAAGGCAAGAGAATCTGAGGCCATCTGATGGAGCTATATACTAAATTTAATACACAAATATAAAAAGTGAGGAACAGGGCTAAAAGCTCTTTGTCTTTACTAAATTTATAAAAACCTAGAGACACAAACAAAAACCTAAACAAAAATGCATGCAGCAACTACATGAGAATGTTTTTTTTTTTTTTTTTTTCAGAACACAGGGATTGAACTCAGGCCCTTATGCTTGCCAGGGAAGCGCTTATTCTACTGAGCTATCTCCCTAGCCCCAATGTGAGAATTTTGAAAAGCAAACTTTGTTTCTTCTGCTGACAGTTTCTGGCCTGGATGCAAACTCAAAAGTGAACATTAGTACAACCAGAGAAAGAATCAAGAGGAAGCCTTTCTGGCTTGAAAAGCTGGAAATGAGATCCCTGATGTGGACTAATTAAAAAATCTCAAAAGTCCTGTTGGAAAAAGGCACATGCCCATGGGACAACACACATACTAGAATGAACTCACAGAGCCTGTGAAGTGGCTACTACAAAAATGCTACAATAAGGAAGAGTATTCATGAATAGACTGAGGAGGGCTTACTGAGGAATAAACATAGGGCCTCTGCACTGAGCTGTATATCCCAAGCCCTTTTTTCTTTTGCCTTTATTACTGTTTTTGAGACAGGGTTTCATTAGACAAAAGTCTCCAACTTGCAATACTCATGCCTCAAGTCTCCAGGAGTACTGGGGTTATGGGCACACACTACCAGATTGGGAGGTTTTTAATCTTTTTCAAAAACTAAAAGATAGGGGCTGGTGGGATGGCTCAGTGGTCTGAAGCACCTACTGGGAGCGGGCTTAGTACAGGGACCGCGGTTCGGTCCCCGGCGCCACATGCCAGCCAGCCCCGCCCCCCTGGTAGGCTGAGCTGGCCACACACACACACAAATAAAAAAAATTCAAAAACTAAAAGATAAAACAATGAGGAAACAAAAGCCACATGTCCTAGTGCATGCCTGCAGGTCCAGACAGTTGAGAGGCGAAGGTAGGAAGATCACACAAGCCCATCATCAGTTCAATGCCAGCCTGGGCCACAGAGCAAGACACTATTTCTGAGAAAACAAAACAAAAACCTTATAATTGAAAATACACACACACACACACACACACACACACCCCAACACTGTTTGGGATACATACACAAAACAGAAAATATCAGGCTAAAGAACCAGTGTGCTTGTCTGTGGATATAGCTCAGTAGTACAAGCACCTGCCTGGTAAGCACAAGGTCCTGAGTTCAATTCCCAGTATTAAGAAAAAAAAAAAAAAAAAAGGGCCCAGGGAGATGGCTCAGTGGAATAAGCGCTTCTCTGGCAAGTGCAAGGGCCTGAGTTCAATCCCAGGTTCCGAGAAAAAAAAAAAAAAAAGTGGACTGAAAGTGGCTCAAAAGGAAGTACATAAAGCCTTAAGAGATGGGTGAAACAATAGCAAAGAATCAACAGTTGTCATCAGCAAGCAGGCTGCATTGCCAGCCCCGCCCCCGGGGCGTGTTGTGATGGCAATTGGGACTAGGCTTGGTGGTGTGTGCCTGTAATCCCAGCTCTTGGGAGGCTGTAAACAGGCAGGCCACTAGAATCTAGTAGTGAGACCTTGAACACCCTGTAGATCCTTCCCTAAAATACACACACACACACACACACACACACACATACACACAAAACCCAGCTGTCATTAAGTCCAGGAGGATATGAGATATAGTACTATTATTATAGACAGCTAAGATAAATAGAAATTAATATGCAGACAGAAAGGGACTGGACTTACACAAACAGTGTAAAATGAGCCACACCAAGATTGTGGCTGGGGTGGATCTGAAGAGAGACAGTGCCAGACCTTAAGATGGACACACAACAGCCAGGCCCACAAGCCTACCTAGAGATAAACAGCAGACTACAATGTGACTGTAATTAGTACCACCTGGTCCAGGGAGTGCACACAAGCATCAGACCCATAGGTGAATGAACAGGACACCCAAACCCATACTCCTACCCCCTTCCAGGAATGCCTTACTGCCCCATGACTCCTTTCCCTATTGGATAAGCAGCTGTACAATCCTATAGTTGAATGTAGTTTGACCCACACTGTACCCATTTTGTAATGCTGTATAAATTACCCTTGACAAAAAGCCTCAGCAGATACCCATTCAGGAACCCTCCAGGAGCTATTTCTCTTCAAGTTATTACATCTGATAAAACTCTTAACTTCCTCATTTGGTTTGCAACTTCATTTTCTGATGTTGTAAGACCACGAACTTCACACTGGTTCTTTATAGACAGAGGACCTTTTTCTTCTCTTTTTTGCACTGGCAATCTATATGATGGCAGTTATCCCCCCCACCAATAATGCATTAAAAAAAAAATGAAAAAAATCTTTGAAAAGCTACTGCCGAAAAATTCCCCAAATTCAGCAAAATATGAATCTACAGACTCAAAAAACTCACAAATATCAAACAAAATTCAAACAGTCACACCCAGACTCACCATAATCTGCCGAAAAATAGAGAACTCAAAATTTTAAAATATTATATAATTTGGCATGGTGATGCATGCCTATAATCACATCACACTGGGAGACTACACAAGACACAAAGTTCAAGCCCAGCAACTTAGTGACCTACCAGGTAAATATATTTAAAAGGGATTGAGAAGAAACTCAGTGCAAAGGCCCTGGATCCAATCCTCAGTAATTCCCCCTTCCCAAGAGGCTTGTCACAATGGCAGTCCTGTAATTCTACCCACTTGGAAGCTGAAGCAGAAGGATCACAAGGTTGTTTCTAGGTCAGCTTGGGCTGGGATGTGGCTCAAGGTTTTACTGTCAAAAACATAAACTATTCCTAGTTCCAAAGTATAGCACACTTCCCTCTCTTGAAGACCACACTCTATTTCCTTGGGTACTTACTTTTAAATTATTGTCCCTTTAAACAAAAAGTATGCTAATCAAAAAAAGTTGGTGAAAAAGCGAGTCTTTGTTAGTATAGAAAAATACCCATGATACAACAATATATTACAATGACAAAAGGGTGAATTTACCAAGAAACTATAACAATCCTAATTGTGAATACACCTCATAATAATTTCAAACTACATGAAGCAAAACAATACACAAATGTAACTGTGGCCAAAGACATCAAAACACCTTTCTTAGGAACTGATCAATCACGTACCCAAAACATCAGTAAAGATACAAAAAACCCCAGCACATACCCCTACCAAACGCATCTCACTGATATCTGACACTCCATTCAATTATCAAAGTGCACAAACAGGGCTGGCCAGATAGCTTGGCAGATTAAAGTGCCTACTTAGGCAGACACAGGGACCAGGGTTCTATCCTCAGCAGGCTGTGCCTGCCACTACTGTCTTGAGAAGGCAGATTGAGACTTGGCATGATGGTATAATCCCAGCAGAGGGGAGGCTGAAAACAGGAGGATCACTATGGGTCCAATCTGTGTAGTGAGACCCTGTAGTCCCTATACTAAAATATTTTTTTTTCATGTCAGACGGGTAATGTGCCCACATGGTAACAAGGTTTGAGGGAGGCACATCTCATGCATTTTAAGACATGAACACCCAATCGTCACGCTTATGAACCGAAGGATCTAAAAATAATTTTTAAAAAAGAAAAAAAAAAGAAAGAAAAGAAACATGATTAGGGGCTGGAGAGATGGCTCAGTAAAATAAGCGCTTTCCCCCGTTCCACAAAAAAAAAAAAAAAAAAAAAAAAAAAAAAAGATTAAAAACAAACTACCAGCTGGGCATGTAGCTTAGTGATATTAAGGGCTGTGGTGCATGTCAGTAATCCCAGCTCTCCAGAGGCTGAGGGAATAAGATGGCCAAGAGTCCAAGAGTTCCATATAAGTCTGGACTACAGGGGGCTGGGGAGATGGCTCAGCAGAGTAAGCGCTTCCCTGGCAAGCGCAAGGACCTGAGTTCAATCCCTGGTTCTGAAGAAAAAAAAAAAAAAAAAAGCCTGGACTACAGAGTTCAAGGTCAGCCTGAACTACATAGTGAGACCCTATTTCAAAAACAAAAAAGTAAAGCAGATCAGGGTAACCTAAACCACTGAAGCAAATAAAATTGGCATGACCTGTCCATAAGGAGATCTGGGAAATGCACAGAAAAAGTCCTTTAAAGAATGCTATCTACAATTCTCATAACTCAAGGTTTTTGATAGGAAGACCCAGTATCAGCCTGAGTGGGAGATACCAAAGATGACACCCTTAACCTCCTAACCACCATGTTCTCTCACTGACAGTGGTCTACCCAAAGCATACTGAACTTCTTTGCCTACTTTTAAATGGCCCATACTTGCGCTGCAGAGCATTTTTCTTTTCTTCCCTCTAAAAAATATAAAGGCTGCACTTATTTTTTTCCAAGTCTTTATTCAGGACAAGAACTTCAACTCTCTAGAACAGTAGAACACATGCCTAGCATGTACAAGACCCTGGGTTGGACCTCTAGCACGGGGGGGGGGGGGATTATTACTATGAAAAGTTATTATACTCATCATAAGGTTAATAAATCTGACATTTGAGGGTCTTTTGTTTGCTTTTGCAATAGGGTCTAGTTATGTAATTCCACTGGCCTTGAACTCTAAAGCCCAATGGGCCTCCAACTTGTAATGATCCTCCTGCCTCCACTTGCTGAATGCCAGAATTACAGGCCTGTATCACCACAGCAGCAGTGGAAATTAAATGTGAACTTCTAAATAAATAATCTAAGAGTTAAGGTTTCTCAAGCAAAAATTTTTCAAAAAGGCTTGAACTGAAAGTATGTGAATATACAAACCAAGTCTGGTGATACATACTTGAAATCTCAAACACCTGGGAAATGTAACCAGACTTTTGCACATTTAGCACTAACCTGGACAACTTAGAAAATCCCTCCCTCCCTCAAAACTGGAGATAGAGCTCATTGTTAGCACACCCGAGTTAGAGCTCCAGTACTTCCAAGAGAAGGAGGGAAAAATTGGTGGGATGTAACCAAAGATTGTTTGGCTGGACAGTAACTACACTACAGCTAATGTGTCACCTTGAAATAGATTTAAGAAACAAAATAATTTCCTGGAACATTTTGGTAAGTATTGAGCATTTTCAATTTTTCTTCAATAGGTTCCCAACTACCAATAAATAAATAAATAAATAAATAAATAAATAAATAAAATAAATGATGCCAACCTATAAAATAACTAAAAACAAGTTCTAATTACCAACATAATGAAATGAATGAACCTCCAAACTACTTTAATACATAAGAGTAATTTATTTGGAATCTGAATCCCTATTTCCAATGATAATATACATAGGCACTGTATCTTATATGAGTAGGAATATTAATTTTAAGGAAAAAACTTAAATTTTTAAAAATTCTAAACTGGATATAGTGGCACACGCCAGTAATCCCAGCGCTCCAGAGGCTGAGGTAGAAGGATTGAGGTAAAATTCATGGCACATAGTGAGACCAAAGCCACCCTGAACTACCTAGCAAGACCCTATCTCAAAAAATAAAGAGGTTCATCGATTGATCTGGGGATGATGTCAAGTGTGAGATCCTAAGTTCCAATCTTACTACTAGATGAAAAAAATTTTTACCACCCCCACCTTTAGGATCTATAGCTCCAAAAGTATGAAGAAAAAAGGGAGAAAGCTGAGTCAATAATGGTGAGAGAAACATTTTGCACTATGTACAAAAACTTGTCTCAACATCTCTTTCACAAAATAAATGACATTGCAGATTTAGATATGATTACTGCAGCTGCAAAATCGAAACAGTACTAGAAACAAAACACTGTGGAGCTAAAATGCATTCTCAAGATAATATAGTTCAGTTCTCTTAAAAGCATTTCCCATAAAAATTTCCAGGAAGTTTACTTGTACTTTCATAGTAAGCTATATTCAGAGCTTTCCTGACCAAACTAATCAAGTCTAAAATTTTAACACAATAAGAACTACAACACCAACAGCATCACGAGTTAATTCACGATTAAACAAGTATAGGTTTCAATCCCGATCCTATGGCACACATCAGTAATTGCACTACTCTGGGAGGCTGAGGCAAGAGGACCACAAGTCTGAGCCTAACCTAGGCATCCTAATTAGTCAGACCCTGTTATGGTTTCTATCTAGATGTCACTCCAAAGCCTCATGTATTCACAGTGGGGCTTTGGGGTGGTGACTGGATCATGGAGGGGGTAGATACTAATCAATGAACTAACCCACTGATGAATTTGTAACTAAATGAGATGCTCAGAGCTAAAGCCAGGTTGCAGGTGAGTCACTTAGGGCATGGTCAACTGACTATGGACTACACCCAGTTGGAGCCACCCAACTACGAACTGACTACATACTGTGAGTCAAAATAAAACTTTCTTAGGGGCTGGGGAGATGGTTCAGTGGAATAGGCGCTTCCTGGCAAGCACAAGAGCCTGAGTTCAATCCCCGGTTCCAGGGAAAAAATAAATAAAACTTTCTTCTTTAAATTGCGGATGCTGGGCATTGTGACCCAGCAACAAGAGAGTAGACAGACCCACCCTGCTGCAAAGTAAAAAGAGGCTGAGATATAGCTTAGTACAAACATCTTAGGTTCAATTCCTAACACCCAGGATGGATGGAGAAGGGAGGGACAAACAGAAAGAAGGGCTGGCTTCAAAATTCAGAGACCAAAAAATATATAAATAAATAAAAAATAAAAAAAGCATTCAGAGACCATCACTTCTGGGCCTTTTGGTTAAGACCAACTGCAGAATTCAGAGGCCATCGAAGTTTTCTGTAATGAGTCAAAACACTTGAATTTATAGGTACGAGAAAGTGTCTTTGTCTTACTTTCCAGTAAGTTATATAAGCAAACTACAAAGAAACCCACTGGGTATACTTTCTACCAGGTTGGTAAGGCATATTTTTACGAAGTTGTACCCACCCACTAAGAACTAAAGTTCATTTATCACCTAACATTGTATCAGATTAGCCGGAGATATGGCTTAGCAGAATAAGCACCTGCCTGGCAAGCGCAAGGTCCCAAGTTTGATCCCCGGTATTTAAAAAAAAAAAAAAAAAGTAAAAATGTATATTATGCTTAATATCCCACGGCATAACTGTTCTCTTATTCTTAGCCATTTACATCAATAATGCTAAAATAAACTCATGCATTTTGCTTCTCCTGTATTTGAATGATTCAGGCTACATTTTGTTTTGGGGAGTGGTGTGAGAAAAGGTCTTGCTATGTAGTGAAAATCAAGTGCACTTGCTATGAGCCTTGAAATCACAAAGGATCCTCCTGCCTCAGTCTCGCCAAGTAATAGGATTATAAGTATGCACTACCACACTTAGCTTGTTTTTCAGTTTTATTTTAAAATCAGCAGGTTCAACGTCATTGAGATCCTGGGATCTTTATACAAGAAATTAGACTAGATCTGAAGCTTCAGATCTTTTAGGAGCCAGAAGTGATGAAAGAAAATGAAAAATAATATGGACAGTAACACATTTTTTTTGGAGGGGGCCTCCTGGGCCAGCATCTGTTCAAGTAGTCCTAGCTGGCCTTAAACTTGATTAAACCCAACCTCACACAGGGTTTAATAACACTTTAAAATGAGACTTAAGATTAATGGCACACATATGAGGCTGGGGAGATAGCGCAGTAGAATAAGCGCTTGACTGGCAAGTGCAAGGTCCTGAGTTCAATCCCCAGTACTGCAAAAAAAAAAAAAAAA